TACTAAAGGAAAATATTCATTTTATGACTTTAAGATGGTAGTTGGAATTATGTTTTTATTTTAAAAGCTTTATTTAGAGTTATGCCGAAATGATTCACGCATTAATGAGTTAGAAAATGCTGCTCCAAAGTGTAATATTCTACATTATGGTTCTTCTGGACCAACAGAAAATGATGGAACCTTACACAGTGTTAGTGAAGAAGAACAAGCTGCTTTTTCTAGCTGGCTTGAAAGGTTATTTTTGTGTTTTTATTCTCTGATAGAAATTTGAAGGATGACCAAGAATGTCAATGTTATTTTCCATTTTCTGAAGATGGCGAAGATATATATGCGAAATGCAAAAATGGATTATTGCTTTGGTGAACTTTTAATTTTATTTAAAATATTTTGTCAGAATTATGTGTTTATTAGTATATAAATATGTTTTTATTCCTATGATATTTCGCAACTCACGACCAAGTTTAACTCATAAAATTATACTTTTTTTGCTATTAAAGTAAAATTATAAACTGCTCAGCTCCTGGTACTATTGATATGAGAGCTGTCAATAATTGTTCCAAGTTGACTACATTTCAAATAAATGAAAATATCAACTTAGCTCTTAATAGTGCCCGCGCAATAGGCTGTAATGTGGTAAACATTGGAGCCGCAGATATTCAGGCAGGAACAAAACATTTACTCCTTGGCCTATTATGGCAAATAATAAAGGCAAGTCTTATATAATTTCACTGAATTTTTCAATGATAAATGAAAAGGTATAAATTAATAACAGTCATAATTCTGTAGAATATTTTTGAGAATTTATTTTGGTTAAAACACTATTAACACCTGAAATCAAACTTTTAATTCCTTCTTATTTATTGCATATTTACATACTTAACTTACTTTATTTATATTATATTTAAATTCAGATATTGCAGGCTAGATAAACTTAATCCATTATATATGTTTCTGACTAGCATATATTGCAGGTTTCGAAAAATCTACAAGTATATTATTAAAGTTTTATTTTATGGATTAATAACTATTTTGTAACCTTTATTCAACAAATAATGTTAAATTTTTAAAAGTGCTATGCCTTTTGAGGTTAGCCTGCGAAAGACAGGCGAATTTTACTGTGTGATGTACTAAGAAGTGTTTGGAAAAACTAGTGATTTCATAGGATTACCATCAAAATGCATCCATAACTTTATAATATTTACCTTAATGCAACCAGATAACCAGTCATTTGTATCACTATACTTGATACATAATCATCGGGTTATTTCGGGCTTTTTGGTATGGAAATATGTCCTGAATTTGTAGATTTAAACCAATAAAACATGTATAAATGTCAGT